CTCACCCTGAACTCTTCCAAGTGCGAAATAACCTCCACCAACCAGCACATAATAGAGCAAATAAAGGTTGTTTTGCCTGACATTCAAACAACCAACCCTGAGGACAGCACACTCCTAGGTGCTCCTCTTGTAAGGAATGCCATCGACGGGGTCCTTGGTAAGAAGATCACTGTCCTGAAGAGGATGAACGAGAGGGTTGAAGACATCGATGCTCATGATGCACTTTACCTCATCACCAGATGTTTGTCCCTCCCCAGGCTGACCTACTTTCTAAGATGTTCGCCATCTTTCAACAATATTAAATTAGAAGAGTACGACAGCTTGCTGAAATCAACACTAGAAAAAGCCCTCGATCTTTCCCTCAGCGACTTACAGTGGAAACAGGCCTCCCTTCCTGTCAGACTCGGGGGCCTTGGCGTGCGCACAGCAACACAAATTCCTGTACCAGCGTTCCTATCCTCTTTAGTGGGATCTGACAACTTGGTGAAGGAAATCATACCTGAGCACCTAGTTCAACAGGCAGGGATACATGACCCCAGCTTTATGGACTGCACAACCAAATGGGTCTCTCTCGCAGGACCAGCACCCCAACCACCGCCTTCTGAAGCCCATAAGCAATCCAGCTGGGATCGCCCCATTGCCGACCAAGAAGCTGCGACTTTGCTAGAAGCTGCGACAACACCACGTGACACTGCCCGACTTAGAGCTGTAGCAGCTCCCCATGCAGGTGATTTCCTATTTGCAACCCCAATGTCAGCAACCGGCACCCGTCTCACACCGCAGGCCCTCCAAATTGCCGTGGCTCTCCTCCTCGCTGCCCCAATCCACACTGAATACAGATGTATTTGCGGCGAGGCAGAGGCCGGCAGGTACGGACGGCATGGCCTTCTCTGCCAAAGGACAGGAGGATGGCATGCAAGACACGGCGAGGTCAATGACATTATTAAGAAGCCTTACCACAGCCGGTTGTCCAGCAGAGAGAGAGTCCCGTTACCTAATGTCCTGCAACTCTGAGGAGCCTGTCGGTCGCCCAGACGGAATCACGGTGAACCCATGGAAGAATGGTAGACAGTTGGTGTGGAACTACACTTCCCTTTCAACTTTAGCCAACACCTATGTTGACTTCAGTGCTACACAAGCAGGAGGAGCTGCCTATCACCGGGAAGCGGCCAAGTCACATAAATACAGAGACCTTGAACACCACTACAATTTTGTCCCCATTGCCTCAGAGACACTTGGTGCCTGGGGTAAAAGTGCTGCTAGCTTTTTGAAGGAGTTGGGGTCTAAGCTAATCGAAACAACTAGAGACCCTAAAGCTGCCAGTTTTCTTTTTCAGCGCCTTAGTGTGGCAATCCAGAGAGGAAATGCTCACTGCATCCATGGTTCCTGCCCACCATCTGAGGAGCTGGAGTAGCTATTCAACTTGTGACAAGCAGCCTTGTACTCTGCATGTAATCAATATTGTAACTTTTTTTTTGTGTAATGATATTTTCAAATAAAGTTAGATAAATATACACACATACCAAAAGAATAGGGGAGGTAGAAGAAGAAAATATCAAAGTGTTCAGTGAAGATCCACAGATCTCCTCTGAGTACTCTTTATTTTCTTCTCCGAGGCTATGGGTCCCTACACTTGCAACAGAGGTGGTACCCCTTCTAGGTTAAAATATATATATATATATATATATATATATATATATATATATATATATATATATATATATATATATATATATATATATATATATATATATATGTCGTACCTAGTACCCAGAACGCACTTCTCAGCCTACTATGTAGGGCCCAATTTGCCTAATAAGCCAAGTTTTCATGAATTAATTGTTTTTCGACTACCTAACCTACCTAACCTAACCTAACCTAACTTTTTTGGCTACCTAACCTAACCTAACCTACAAAGATAGGTTAGGTTAGGTTAGGTAGGGGTGGTTAGGTTCGGTCATATATCTACGTTAATTTTAACTCTAATAAAAAAAATTGACCTCATACATAACGAAATGGATAGCTTTATTATTTCATAAGAAAAAAATTAAAGAAAATATATTAATTCAGGAAAACTTGGCTTATTAGGCAAATCGGGCCTTGCATAGTAGGCCGAGAAGTGCGTTCTGGCTACTAGGTACGACATATATATATATATATATATATATATATATATATATATATATATATATATGTCGTACCTAATAACCAGAACGCACTTCTCGGCCTACTATGCAAGGCCCGATTTGCCTAATAAGCCAAATTTTCCTGAATTAATATATTTTCTCTAATTTTTTTCTTATGAAATGATAAAGCTACCCATTTCATTATGTATGAGGTCAATTATTTTTTATTGGAGTTAAAATTAACGTAGATATATGACCGAACCTAACCAACCCTACCTAACCTAACCTAACCTATCTCTATAGGTTAGGTTAGGTAAGGTAGCCGAAAAAGTTAGGTTAGGTAGTCGAAAAACAATTAATTCATGAAAACTTGGCTTATTAGGCAAATCGGGCCTTGCATAGTAGGCTGAGAAGTGCGTTCTGGCTATTAGGTACGACATATATATATATATATGTCGTACCTAGTAGCCAGAACGCACTTCTCAGCCTACTATGCAAGGCCAAATTTGCCTCATAAGCCAAGTTTTCATGAATTAATTGTTTTTCTACTACCTAACCTACCTAACCTAACCTAACCTAACTTTTTCGGCTACCTAACCTAACCTAACCTATAAAGATAGGTTAGGTTAGGTTAGGTTAGGTAGGGTTGGTTAGGTTCGGTCATATATCTACGTTAGTTTTAACTCCAATAAAAAAAAATTGACCTCATACATAATGAAATGGGTAGCTCTATCATTTCATAAGAAAAAAATTAGAGAAAATATATTAATTCAGGAAAACTTGGCTTATTAGGCAAATTTGGCCTTGCATAGTAGGCTGAGAAGTGCGTTCTGGCTACAAGGTACGACATATATATATATATATATATATATATATATATATATATATATATATATATATATATATATATATATATATATATATATATATATATATATATATATATATATATATATATATGTGTGTGTGTGTGTGTGTGTGTACACACACACACACACACATCACTGGGAAACCGATCATCGTTTAATTTTTAAGGCAGGAGCTGTGGAGGTTTTCAGCAGTGTGTTGGACCCGTGTGTTGACTCCTCACCCCTGGTGGAAAGCCTGGTTGAGAATAGAGGGTCTTCTGCCAAATATCCATAAAACTAAACCTGAAGACAGCACACTCCTAGGAGCTCCCCTGGGGTTGAAAGCCATCGATGAGGTCCTTGATAAGAAAATCGCCGACCTTAAAAGGATGGATGGGAGGATTGAGGATATTGATGCTCATGATGCACTCTACCTCATCACCAGATGTCTGTCCCTCCCCAGGTTAACCTACTTTCTGAGGTGTTCACCATCTTACAGCAGCCAAAAACTAAGTGAGTATGACCGGTTACTGAAATCAATGCTAGAAAAAGCCCTTAACCTCTCTCTTGATGACCTACAGTGGAAACAAGCCTCTCTTCCCGTAAGACTCGGGGGCCTCGGAATTCGAACAGCAACGCAAATCGCAGTTCCAGCCTTCCTGTCCTCCTTATCAGCATCCGACGACCTTGTGAAGGAAATTCTACCTGCCCACTTACATCAGCTGGCAGGTGTACATGATCCCAATTTTACACGCTGTGCCACAGAGTGGGCCTCTCGTGCAGGCCCATCACCTCAACCACTATCCCCAAAAGCCCACAAGCAATCCAGCTGGGATGGCCCCATTGTAGACCAAGTTGCTGCAGAGTGCCTGGGTGCTGCAACAACACAACACGACATTGCTCGCCTCACAGCAGTAGCAGCACCACATGCAGGGGATTTCCTGTTAGCAACCCCAATGTCGGCAACTGGCACGCGTCTCACACCACACTCCCTCCGAATTGCTGTGGCCCTTCGCCTTGCTGCCCCAATCCACACCAGATATAGGTCTATTTAGGTGGTGGCTGACAGGTATGGCCACCATGGCCTACTCTGCCAAAGCACAGGGGGATGGCACTCGAAGCACAGTGAAGTTAACGACATCATCAAGAGGAGCCTCACCACAGCTGGATGCCCAGCTAAAAGAGAGCCCCGTTACCTAACGCCCCGTAACTCTGATGCTCTTATTGGTCGCCCGGATGGTATCACAGTGAACCCCTGGAAGAATGGCAAGCAGTTGGTATGGGACTACACGTGTGTATCAACCCTGGCTAACACCTACATTGACCTCAGTGTTGCACAACCAGGTGGCGCTGCCACCCACAGGGAAGCTGCCAAATCTCGTAAGTATAGAGAACTGGACCACCACTACAATTTTGTCCCCATTGCTTCTGAGACACTCGGCGCCTGGGGTAAAAGTGCTACCAGTTTTTTGAAGGAACTGGGTTCTAGGCTCATTGAAACAACAAGGTACCCTAGAGCTGCCAGTTTTCTTTTCCAGCTCCTCAGCGTGGCGATACAGAGGGGAAATGCGCACAGCATCCAGGGTTCCTGCCCGCCATCTGAGGAGCTGGAGGAACTCGACAACCTATGATAACCATCTTTGTAACCTATATGTAACTCCTTTTTTAACAAAGTTCATATAAAGCAAATATATATGTGTACATACAAAAGAATGGGGGTGGTAGGAGAAGATAATATTAGTGTTCAGTGAGAAACCACAAGGTCTCCTCTGAATACTTTTTATTTTCTTCTCCGAGGCTATGGGTCCCCACATTGGCACCAGAGGTGGTACCCTCACAAGCTTTATATATATATATATATATATATATATATATATATATATATATATATATATATATATATATATATATATATATATATATATATATATATATATATCATATCTGTGTCAGCAATTGGGCTCTTAACTACAAAGTACAATAATGGAACACATTCTGTTTTATAGGTAAGAAAATTTAAGTCGTTTAAAGGGATTCTACTACATGGAAACATACAAAGGATCACATTAGCATGTTATTACATATTAGTACTACTGTTAAGGCAATTCACCATATGAATATATGTAACTAACACAATGCTTGGTTACATATATTTTAGCTTAGTTATCAGCGCTTTGATGAATTTATCATATTTACCATTTGTGGCATCATTTATATGCTGCAGATACACATACATATTTACTAAATATCCTGATGTAGAAAATTCTTCTATAACAGAAGTTAAACAATTTACTGTATGTTGAAACAGCTTGTTGAAGTCAAAAGTGTTAGAGTGCGAAGTTTCAGAGGAATCTCCGTCATTTTGACGTTGACCATGCAAATTCCCATCACATTTGCAATTTAAGCATACGTAAGAATTATACACTGAATTAAATCCAAAAAAAGGCACTCTTATTGTGAAATGGGGGTTTATTCTTCCTAGTTCATGATCTGCGTCACATTCATGACAATAAAGAAATTTTTTAATTGGCTTTGAAAAAGTCTTCCTCCGTTCGTCTAATATTCCTACAGTTTGCCAGTATAGGTGTTCAATGCTCTGTATGACTCCAATCCCAGCATTTAATAGCTGTCGTGAAGGCGCCAATGAAAGAAGCTGTATGTAACTATCGTGCTGAACACCATTTTCTTTGCAAACTATTTCAGCAAAATTCACTAATATACGTTCATCATCAGAGGAATCAGACGCCCGAGTGGACCTAAGGTGGTGAACAAGTGCTGCTGACTCCCAGACTTTCTCACACGAGAGAATTGAATCCTTTGTCAGGTATTTAGATTCCTTTAAACGAGCGATGAACTCTTTCATTTCAGCTTTCAACTCTCTCTCAGCAGAATCAATCACAGTTGCTGCAAACACCTCATTCATCAAAGTTTTCAGGGTGCCGACAGACAGAGCTGAGAGATTATGTAGAGATTTCATACATTTTTTCCAACTCTTGTTCCCAATTCTCCAATAAACCCTGTCCAGATCATCAATTACATCAGTTTTGATGTTGCTGAGAGCAGAATTATTAAACTTCAAGAAAGTATTACACTTCACGCCATAGTTCTTCATGGCCTCAACGACTGGTGGAGTCTCCTGACTGTCTGCAAATGTAACAAATGTAAAGAAATGGTTTTCAACACTCTGACCAAACAGTGTGGAGACATAGTCCATAACGAGGCGTTCTGATGATGTTAGACGTACCAAGTGAGCTTGTGCTACAAAACCAATGGCATGGATCTCATAATTTTGTGAGGCAGCATTTACCAAGAAGGTTTTGAGTGACTGGACATGATCTCTCACTTCTGCCCCTGAGGAGTCATTCAGTCCTGGTGTGTCTATAACAGTAATGGGAGTCTCGTGTTCACCAGAGCAAAATGTATAGGCAGTAATTGAGGTTGTATATGACCGTACATCGTTAGAGTTTCTTACTACGTGAACCAACTCACCATCAGCAGTTTTAACACCTCTATAGTAGTTTGCAACAAAATTTACCAATGTTGTCTTCCCACTTCCTGAAGCTCCAAGAAGAATTATGGTTTTCTGCTTCACTTCTGAACGAACTCCATAGTACTTCCTAATCATTCCACATTCATCAAAAACTTCTGCTACGGGCTTCAAGCAATCTGTAGCCACACTAAAATCCTCTTTGTCTTCTTTAGTACTTTTGATATATCCTGGAAATTTTGCTTTGTGCATATTAGAATAAACTGAACCTTTTGCCCCTGATTTGAAACTTTCTGAGTTGCATATTTCTTTGGGTGTCAATCCAGAAACATTTTCTGAGTCTGAGTTATGAGTCTGCTTTGTTAAATGAAAACTTGAATTGACGCAACTCATTCCAGCTCCATCTCCACTACGGCTTTTGTGAAATGTTAATGGAACTGATAAAGTTTCATTTGTTTTTGATAAGATTGTGTCCAAAAGTATTCCTGGTTCACCAACAGCGACATAATTGTATTTGTCTTTTTCAGAAGGGAAGTTGTCTAAACTCTTACACAACGATGTTTCTTGGTAAACAAGACCCTTTCCAGTATGTAACCTATTCCTCGCAAAACGTTTTGGGCTGCAAATTATATCATTTTTTCCTTCGGAAAATTCTTTACTGGTGAATGTATCAGTCATACTTTCTGATGAAAGTGAACGATTATGAGGAACTGCTCTTACACACATTTGGTTTTGATAAAGATATTCACTGGAGCAATAATTCTGCCTCAGGGCAGTGTTCATGGGCCCCCGAAATCCACCCATGCAGCCACGAATGTATTTATTGCCCTTGTTTTCTTTGTAAAACTTTCCACTTTCTTCCTGACGAAATGATTTAAATATATTTGTTTTTTTGGGTAATTTGGCGGAATTTTCAACTGGCCTATTGGAGTTGTTTCTATTACCTCTTTGTGTTGTGTTTGCACCGCGGCGCTTGTGGGTCTCAGCCACCTGCTTGTTGTCACACTGACTTCCTTTGCCTGACAATCTAGGTTCAACAACTGATGTAATTTTCTTCTCATTTCCAAATAAAATCTTGTTGCCATTGAGAGCTTGTTTACTTTTATCATAAGAAAATTTGCTATCAGAATTAAGATTTTCTACTACCAGACTTTTTTTCTCGGCATTTACATGATTTTCTCTGCATTTGGAAGTGCTGCCACTTCTGATAACTTGTTGATTCCTTGTTACAACAGGTTTTGTTATGATCTCTTTAGTTTTTGTCTGGGAATTCTTAACCACAGAAGCATAAGAAGATTCCTTAGAAATAAATGAAGCAGGACTTACTAATGTTGCAGAATAAGGTTTTATAGTCACTTCAGAATCCTTCACAAGGCGACAAAATTCCTGTAAAGCATGTTTAATGTTTTTTAAACTTTCTCTGTTTTTCCCTTTATGGTATGTATATATACTGAAATATTCTTTGTTTAATCCATTTGGAATGTAGCTTTCATTACTGCCTTCAGCCATGGAGTGTAAATATTCTTTCAACTCTGACAACTCCTTATGTCCCAATTTATAATAAAAATTTATGAGTAAATAAACATCATTCCTATAATTAGGAGAACCTACAATGTGTTCCTGGTGATGAGCCTTAATGTTTTTATTTTTCTCGATAATTTTACTTCCTTCCAAGAGAATTACATGACCAGTTTTCATCATTTTGTAGTCTTCCATCCATGCGGCTCGTGGGAAAACGTTCGAGGTTTTCACTGCATGATCAAGAAAGTCTTTTTCCCTAATTTCAAAATTATATTTTGGAGGTAATGTCTCGCTGCTGAAATTATTTGGGTTTTGACACGGGAAATTTTTGTTCTGCTCCTTATCATATCCAAGGTCACCTTCATCCTGATGAACACTTGCCTCTTCTCCTTCAGGTTTTCTAAAAAAAAAAAAAAACTAACATAGATTACAACATTGTGCATATTTTTTTAATGAGCAAATAATAAAAGAGAGACTTTAAAGAAATGTGACATACATTTTTACACCAAATATTATAGAAAAACAAAACATGTCTGTGAATATACATCCAGCTAATTGTTGTTTTCAAGGTTGAATTTCAGAGCCTGGCTTCTAAAATTTATTATACTGGTTCAGCTGTTGCCTAATGTTCGGTCAGACCGTCTTAGAAAGCGACATATAAGATCTGTTTTCACTTGTTCTCTCTCAATTGTTTTTTTCCACTTTTTCAGTTCCCTTACAATGAACGGGTTCTTTTCAAAATGAATTCACAATAACGTAATATATCTATGAGAACACCTTGGCAACAGGACAGTGGGTTGATCCAATTGTCCTACTCCAGCATCATGGGTCACCCCCAGAGGCACATCGTACCCATAGACCATGATATGCTAAAGTGCATGCAGGATACATAAAAACCTCGATTGGCTTTTAGCTCAGAGCTTTCAGAGTATTAGCGGGTTCTCGGTGGACTTCAGACTGAGTAACGTCTGGGTAATTGGTAAGTCGCATATCTGAGATGACTCAGGATAGATGTTTGATCCCGCCATCCGGCTGTAAAGATGGACGTAAACAACAAAGGCGGTTGGTGGAGACCTCCACTACAATCATCCTCTCAAATCTCAAGACACTTCAGCATTCAACTGTTCCAAGAGGATAAGCTGGCACAACATCTCCACGGTGCTCCACTGACTTTGATTGGTATAATTTTGTGAAACACTTTTCGTTCTCTCTTGTGAGGGAAAATTGGAAATAAAAGTTGAATCTAATTTTAAGAAAGTAAATATAAACACCGCTCCTTTTCGTAATATGATAACAATTGTATGGGACATGAACGCTCTCTGCCCGAGGAGGGGGACTCGCCATATTTACGACTCAACGAGAGAGACGCGGGCAGCAGTGCTGGGTGTTCCTGTGTATTAGCGAAACTTCCATGAAACATCTCACTGATCTCGCCCATAACAAGGAAAGTACATCAGATCCATATTCACTCCTTAACAAACAGTGTGGTCATATAGAGTGAGAGTATGTTTAAGAGGTGTGAGAGAATGGATTTTCCCAGATAGCCTATGCCTATTGTGTGCGTGCAAGCAGGAAAGAGCCAGTGCACAAGCCTGTGTACCGGGCCTTACATTTAGAAATACTTGACCTACACCAGCTTGTTGGGTGTCTCTGGACAAGTCTTGTCAAGACCTTTCTATTGCTATTACAGTGGCCGCTGTAGCAAGTCTTTAAGTAAAGATATAATCATGAGTATGATTCAGGTGAGTTTGGTGTAGCTAGTGAAGAGGGGTGTGGTGGATTTGGGGGGGGGGGAGTCAATGGTCGTGGGCCGCCACCCCACCGCCGTGACGTCACAGGCCCCTCGTGGCACAAGGAAGCCTTGTGACTGGTTGATGGTAGATGGTGGATGGTAGCCGAGGCTAATTCCCCAAAGAATGAGGTGATTTGATAAAATACCATGCCCAAGATTACGAACAGAGTGCCGGCGCGGGCATGGGGAATTAGCCTCGGCTACCATCCTCTTTTGTCCGGTCGTGTTGGTCGAGTGGTTAAGGGATCCTGTACATCAGATGCATTGCTTCTGGCAGTATGTGTTCGGGTCACTTCTGGGGGGTGAGTTTTCAGTTGCATATATGCCTGGAGGCTGTTCAGGCTTGTTCACATTTGTGTTCCTCACGTGTGCCCCAAAGAATGAGGTGATTTGATAAAATACCATGCCCAAGATTACCAACAGAGTGTCGGCGGGGGCATGGGGAATTAGCCTCGGCTACCATCCTCTTTTGTCCGGTCGTGTTGGTCGAGTGGTTAAGGGATCCTGTACATCAGATGTATTTCTTCTGGCAATATGGGTTCGAATCACTTCTGGGGCGTGAGTTTTCAGTTGCATATATGCCTGGAGACTGTTCAGATATGTTCGCATATATATATATATATATATATATATATATATATATATATATATATATATATATATATATATATATATATATATATATATATATATATATATATATATATATGTCGTACCTAGTAGCCAGAACGCACTTCTCAGCCTACTATGCAAGGCTCGATTTGCGTAATAAGCCAAGTTTTCCAGAATTAATATATTTTCTCTAATTTTTTTCTTATGAAATGATAAAGCTACCCATTTCATTATGTATGAGATCAATTTTTTTTATTGGAGTTAAAATTAACGTACATATATGACCGAACCTAACCAACCCTACCTAACCTAACCTAACCTATCTCTATAGGTTAGGTTTGGTTAGGTAGCCGAAAAAGTTAGGTTAGGTTAGGTTAGGTTAGGTAGGTTAGGTAGTCGAAAAACAATTAATTCATGAAAACTTGGCTTATTAGGCAAATCGGGCCTTGCATAGTAGGCTGAGAAGTGCGTTCTGGCTACTAGGTACGACATATATATATATATATATATATATATATATATATATATAGAGAGAGAGAGAGAGAGAGAGAGAGAGAGAGAGAGAGAGAGAGAGAGAGAGAGAGAGAGAGAGAGAGATAGAGAGAGAGAGAGAGAGAGAGAGAGAGAGAGAGAGAGAGAAAATAAATAGATACCCTCCCCTCCCCAACTACAATAAACGACTGTTTAGTGATACATCAAGACGAGTGATGCATAAATCCTTTCTCCTTCCATATATCATAATTATTTGCAACAAAATATGCTGTCCGGTCGATATGAATTATTGCTGGCAAACCTCCATCAGACTGAAAACCATCTCTACATTGTTTATGATCGGCAAGGCCTCAAGTCCTCAAATGTGCGTAGTTATCATTGTATCTGGTGTAAGGTGCTTTGGAGGGAATAAGGCACACATAAATGTAAGGCTGTATTACTAAGTGCGTGCCAATGGCTATAGCAACATCCTTTATTTTTAAAGTTATCCTAAGTTGCCATCATAATATGGGAGATAACAACAAATTTGTCACTTGCATTCGTTTATCGTCAATAGTGTATTCAGTTGATTATTTGTTTAAATAGATTAAAAATATTTAACTAGGTGCACAATACATTAGACGACACGACACATGAATTATGTATATAATACACTAGACGACACGACACATGAATTATGTATATAATACACTAGACGACACGACACATGAATTATGTACATAATACACTAGACGACACAACACATGAACTATGTGTATAAGATACTAGACGATACGACACATGAACTATGTGCATAAGACAGTAGATGACATGATACCTAAACTATGTGTATAAGACATTAGACGACACGACATAAACTATGTGTATAAGTTACAAGATGACACAACACATGAGCTATGAGCACAAGACACTAGACAGCACAACTCATGAGTTATGTATATAATATTCAAGACGAAACAACACATGAGCTATGAGCATATGCCACAACACTTGAGCTTCGTGCACAATATACTTAACAATTGCAACACACGATATATGTGCTCAAGACACTTTAATATTGTTACTATTCCTTATGACTGTATTTCATCGCCATAAATATCAGCCTGTATTGTTTGAACAGGTTAAGCTCTAATGGGATGGGATTGGTGCGGTTATTCTGGAGCGAACTGTCGATGGGGACTCAACGGCTGACCGCCAGAGGGTGCGAAAGTTCTCTACCTCACTCCGCAGTTTGCTCCTGGCTGGTGGTGTTGCGCAGTTGGTGGTGCCCTGCTGGTGTGGGGATTAGGCCCTATGGGATGGGGTCTCCCATGTGTCCGGTGAGGAGGACTATGTCAGCAGGGCTGGAATTTTCTACCCCTGTGGACCATACGGCTGTAGGCGCGCCATTGATGGATGTGCTACATGTAAACATCACTGATTTAATTGGTATCTAGCTCATCCGTGATCGCCGTGTGGTGGTCAAATTCCACCTGCAATGTGTCTTCCAAGATTTTATCCATCGGTATGAGGGGCACTCTTTCCTGATGTCGGACGGCACTGGGACTTTGAGGATTGTGTACCTCAGTGTATCGACCACCTACGTGGCTATGAGGGGTGCGCTATTGGATTTTCGGACGTGCTTCTGTTTTGGCTCTTTGAGAGGTATTTTAAGGTCCAGGACATTAGGTGGAACCAGGTCCCATCCGGGTATGCTAGGGGCCTGCTTGCTGGCACATGGACATTTTTTTTTTTAAGTCTCTCAACCACCATATACCGTCTTCTGTGTCGGTGATGGGGGTTTACCCTCCATTGCTTATACACTGGCCAGCCTCGCACATGTTTTCAGTGTGGATTGTTGGGTGACCTGGCTGCGGCATGCAATGCTTGGTGTGGTGGACTGGGTTAATATCTTCCGGGATGCTGATTTTCCCCCTCTCTCGAGGTTCTGGAGGCTCCTTCGATTGGGTTTGCTGGGAAGGGAACTCTACCTGTGCGGCCATCGGCTGATGGTCCCGATTGTGCAGTGAGCCCTAGTGCTGGTTCAGTGACCGTGTTGCCCCTTGGATATACAGAGGCCGTGTGTAAGTCAGTGAGTGGGGTGAGTGAGGGACATGGGGACCTGTGCGTTGAGAGAGGTGTTTTTGTGCAAGTTTATCATGCACAGCTTGCTGTGGACATGGCGATGGCTCCCCCAATAGTTCCGTCTCCAGCTTCATCAGACGTGCATGATGTGGATGTTACGTACTCCTAGCAGAATACGTATATAAATTTGAAATAGCATTTTTGTTCTATTATGTCATTGCCTGTATATGTACACACATTGTGTTTTTGTAAATTGTCGTGTGGTGTGGCAGCGTTAGTGGAGACAGGAGCGCGGTTGCTTTGCACACGTCTAATACCTGTTAAATTCGGGAAAGCTGGACCTGTTCAGTTGGGAGTTCCAGATGTCACTTTTATTTAGTTTAGGTAATTGTTTATTTTCTGTAATTAAACAGGTGGCATTATACTTATATATTTTGTAAGTAACTATTATCTGTAATTTGCATTCTTGTGTGTTTTGAGAACAAGTGGTTGTTCAATTAGTTTTAAATATTAAAAAGTCCTTAGTTTCCATCCCTCATCCTGGGATGAGGCAGACGGGAGGTGAGAATTTGGGTAGCGACAGAGCGAGAGTTCAGTAGCTGAACGGGACTCGAAGGAATAACATGTGGGAGATAAGTCTGTAACATTCATGTTGTGCCATATTTTATTATGTTATATTAAGTGAGATGATAATACTTTTGGTTTGTTGTATAAGTTAACTTTACCATCTGTGTTTTTATATTATACTGTTTTGAATATATATATTATAAGTTATATGTATAATTCTTCAGTCCTAAGGGAGAAATACTTTTAAGTCTTAGCCTGTTATCATTCATGGGGTTATACTGGTGACCCGCTTTAGAGAGCAGCAGTGGTATCCCTAGACGTAATTAAAGCTTGGCTGCTGTAGGGTCACGAGCCGTAACGAACGATAGGTAACAAAGAGTTATGGGGGCCTGTGCCGGGAAATATTGTTCCCACTTAACCTTAATTATGCTAATCTAACCTTGCCTTCCTAGGTACCAGTGTGTTAAGTGTCTGTGTGTTTTATAAGAACTATTCCATGTGCCAAGCAAGCTTTCCTGTGTGTCAAGTAACAACGTTTCACGATTTTGAGGTAAGTCATCCTATATATTTTGTTTGTGCAGTGAGGCCAAGCGAATTTTCAGTGTGGTGACAATTTTACAGTGAAGTGTAGTGCAGTGCCATTGTTTTAATTATTGTTGTGAATCAAGTGCCAAGTGTTAGTAACGATGGAGGAGAAAGTTGCAGCGTTGGTGGCTCACTTAGACTTTGAAGGGATTCAGAGCCTGAAAAAGACTGAGTTAATACAAATGGCAAATCAGTTGGATTTGACAGCCAACAATAGAATGGTTAAAGCCCAAATATTGAAAGTCATTGTGACACATTTTGTTGAGAATGGAGAGTTAGAGGAAGAAATTCTAGAGGAGTTAAGAGAGGAGTCGAGTGATCAGATGACGTTAAAGCGTCTTGAGTTAGAAGCTCGCCAATTAGAGCTTGAAGCTAAAAAGGAACAGAAACAATTAGAGCTTGAAGCTCAAAAAGAACAAACTAGGCAATTAGAGATTCAACAACAAATGGCTGACACTAACTTCAGGCTTGAATCACAACGTATGGCAGCTGGGCATGGAAATACTAGTAATGTTTCAATAAATAGTGATAATAATCCCATAAGGATGAATAAGTATATAGAGTTACCCAAGTTCAATGAGGAGGATCCTGAGGTTTTCTTTGCCCATTTTTATAAAATTGCCATCAGTATGAACTGGCCAAGGGATCAGTGGGTAGCCATTATGCAGTCTCAATTTAAGGGGCGTAGTCAGGAGGTTTTCACATCCCTACCTGACGCTCATAGCTTTGATTACGAATTTGTAAAGAAAAGCATCTTAAATGCATACCAAATAAATCCAGAGGCACACAGGCAAAAGTTTAGGAACCTAAGGAGGATAAGTGATCAGACAATAGCAGATTTTACTCGTCAAAAGACGAATTTTTGCAACAGATGGATAAAGTCACTTTCAGTCACTGACTTTGATGCTCTAAAGAATCTTCTTATAATGGAAGAAGTATTGTCATGTCTCCCAGACCAGTTGTCTACTTTTATGGCAGAACAAAAGAATGTAACAGACATTTATGAGCTGTCAAAGCTCGCGGATGAGCATGAGTTGTTGACTAAGGCCCAGTTTACAGCCACTTCACCTAAGTCTAGTCGTAGAGTAAATTATAATGCTCCCCGAACTCCTTATCAGAATCCATCCCGTCCTAGTGATCCAGTTACTCCCATGAGCTCTTCTCTTACAAAACCTAACCCTGCTACTTCATTGTCAGGAATGTCAAATAATAATAAGGTTATTTCTAAACCTACAGTTGGTTCCACAGGTGTGTCCACTGTAAGGTCCTGTTCCCATTGTAAGAGAAAAGGCCATGGAATTAATTCATGTTTTATATTGCACCCTGAGTTACGACCAACTGGTCTCATTTATTGTAGAGGTGTGCAAAATAAACTTACTAATAAAAATGTAACTGTAAACCCCAATTGGGTGAAACAGTATTCACCATATATGTCTTCAGGTGAAGTTTTGTGTATTAATGGGAAGTGGAAGCCAGTGGTTATTCTTCGTGATACAGGTGTTTCCCAAACCATAATTTCATCCAGTATTCTTTCTGATGTTGAAAAGAGAGATACTGGAAAGTTTGTTGTTCTTCAGAGTGTTGCAGGATGTAAAACTGTACCACTAATAGACATTAATTTCAGATCCACCATTACACCAAGTTTATGCACTGTGGGTGTTAGTACACAGTTGCCCATCCCAGGTGTGGATGTTATATTGGGTAATGATGTGGCCATAAATCATGTTGTGGGTGAGAATGATCCCCGTTTGTGTAAACAGCCAGTTGCAGACCATGTTTATTCTGCCTGTGCTGAAGTTAGTTCTATGAATGAACCTGTTGTAGAAGATGGTTTTGTCCATTCTACCTGTGCTGATGTCAGTACTAATATAAATCCAGTTGTCAGTTCTGATGTTGTTACTCAAGCATTTGTTCCAGTAACCAGTACCCCTTCAGTGGAGAAGTGGGATGTGGTTGTTCCAGATTCCTGTGTGGCCGATTTAGTTGTTGAGAGTAAGCCTGATACTATGACTCTGCTTTATTCCAATAAATTGGGAAAGGATGTCCATGTACCATTGTCTTGCCCGCTCACTACGAACGTTGTGCCAGGAGTTGAGAGAAACTTCAAAGCCACGACTCTGTATTCCAGCCAAGTGAATGGTTTAGGACAAGATGTCGGGTTGGCAGAAGTATTCCCGCTCACTCCAAGTTTAGAATCAGTTGTCGAGAGTAAGTCTGTTGTAGAGGCCCCGCCTCACCCTAGTCAAGGTGATAGTATAGGGGAGGAGGTCAAACTACCTGTTACTTGCCCGCTCGTTTCAGATTCCCTTCATTTAAGTGCTTTGAGTAGAACTGACCCTAAGATTTCAGAGAGAAGCAAGGAGACAGTCTGTACTGTAGATCCAGTTTTGGAGAGTGTGGGAAAGCAGCCAGAGGATCAGGTTCTGTTGAGTAGATGGAGACCCATTAAGCCTCCCTCTGCAGTTGTCTGTGAGGATGTGACCCAACTTGGTAGTGATATTATTGATTGTGAGCAGACAGTACTCCAAGCAGCTCCAGAAGTCATGGAAGGAAATTTTGGTAAAATCATTAAGAGTGGTAAAGTAGCATTTGGATCTAAGTTGCGGAGTTGTGATTCTTATTCTATGTGGAGTAAGTATTTCTCATTGTGTACATTGAGTCAGAGTGTGTGTAGGATGTTGAAATCTACTTTTATTCTGCAGGAGCCATTTTCTTGTGAAGTAATGGACTGTGGGACATCTTTGTCAAGCCTTGTGGTTGAGCAGAGAGAGTTTACTCAAGTAGGTTGTGCATCCAGTTCTGAGGAAGCGGTGAGTTATACTAGAGCAGTGTCTCTATATTCAGATCCAGTTAATTTTAATGCACGAGTGATGAAAGTGTATGTTCCACTCAAGTGTGGTGTTGACTTTCAGAGTCATATTGGAGTTGATTTTCAGAGTCATATTGTGGGTGAAGGATTAAATCATACTGGGGAGCAGATGTTTGAGGCTCCAGGTGTGTATTTCAAGTTGGGGGATAAGGTTATCCTACCTAGAGTTAATCATTGTGAAGGGTTTCAGATTGTCCTTGGGTGTTTCCCAGGTAATCTGCTGTTCATCTTCAAGATATTAAGACCCTTAAACCTCTTGGTTGATTGGTTGTCATCAGACGTAAATCACTTGGGAAGTGATGGTGAGGGTTGTAAAGTTTTCAGCATGTTTTATTTAGTCTTTTGGCAGACTAGACGGTTGATGATAGTGTGTGTTGTGTTCAAGTTCACCATCAGGAGGTGTGAACTTGTCTTGAGAGCTATGATTGAGATATGGTGCCTAGGCATAGGCCTGTTTTCTTTCACTGATCGTTATGACAGAGTTATGAGGCAATTGATTTCTGTGTTCCTTATGGATCATCTGAGTCAGTTCGATCAGGTAGTCTTTGCACTTATCTTGGGTTGCATTTCTTGGGTTGAAGGTCAACGGTTTGCTAAGTCGGTGTCTTGTGTTTCGGAAGGTTCTATGAATGGGAAAGTCTTATGCATAATTGTGAGGTTTAATGCTAATTTCTCTAATTTTAGTATCCATTGGGCGAGAGTATGTGTTCCACAGAGGATCAAGAGTGATGAAGAGCAGATGTCTGTGTCAGAGCATACCCAGGAGAAGTCCCAAATCTACTCAACATCCAGTCAGCTTCAATTAAGCAGTTCAGCTCCAGAAAAGGGGAGAAATGGAAAATGGAGTCTGTCTTGGAAAAATTCACCATGTGGAAAAGGGATCACATGGAAATACGG